AGCCCTGCTATTTTTATGTTGTTGTTGTCAGATAATTTGACTTTGCCCATCCCCACTGATCCAAGATGGCGTAGCATTGCGGTCGTGTACTCTGTGTGTGTCCGTGTAAATTGCCTGTTTTCTGTATTTATTTATTTTATTTTTCATACATATTTCCCTATCACACTTTTCATCCTTCTACTAAATATACGTTCCTGCAACCCGCCTCACTCAATGTGGAACGGATTCTATTATTGACTTACCTTTTATCTAGAATCTCCAGTTGAAACTAGCTAGCCAGCTAACTAGCTACTTGCTATTAGCCACAGTTAGCGGTTTTCACCCAGAACATCGGATTCTCTGCCGGAATAACTGAATCACTGGACATTAACACCGGATCGCAACTAGCTAGCCGCAACCGAATGGATGTTGCTGTTGGCTAATCACCAATGTCCCCCGAAGCAAGCTCCAGTTAGCCTTGAGCTAGCCTCGAGCCAGGCCCTTATCCCGGCTATCTACCTCTCTGTCTACCGGACGGGAGTAGCCAGCTAACTAGCTACTTGCTATTAGCCACCGTTAGCGGTTTTTCACCATTGTCCGTGACCTGCACTACCTACCAGCCAGCTCTAGCCTGGACTATTATCGGCCAGTCTGCACTGTCTGCACAGCGCGTTATCGACCCAGAACATATAGGTTTTTCTGCCCGAATCACTGAATCACTGGACCTTTAACACCGGATCATCGCAACTAGCTAGCTGCAACCAAATGGATGTTGTTGTTGGCTAATCAGCCTTGAGCTAGCCTCGAGTCAGGCCCATCTCCCGGCTATCTACCTCTCTGTCAACCGGACGGGACCTCCTAGAGTCGACACGGAGCCCCGCCGATCAATCACGACTGGTCTGCCGACGTAATCGTCTGTGGTTTCAACAGGCTTCCCGTTGCGACGACCACGAAGATCCATCTGCTAGCCCCGGCCCGCTAGCACACGCAAACAACAGCCGTGCTTCCTGCTAGCCTGTGCTGTAGCACCAATTCGAACTGCTCTCGGACTCACATAATTTATTGCTGTTCACTGGACCTTATGATCACTCAGCTGCACAGCTGATGCCTGCTGGACTGTTCCTTTACATGGTACCCTTTCCTGTTTATCTGTTTAGCCTCAGCCCGAACTTTCATCGCCATTACCAGTTGTTGTCTTAGCTCTCCTGAATAACACCTGTGATTGCTTTATGCCTCTCTCCCATGTCAATATGCCTTGCCTATTGCTGTTCCAGTTAGTTATTATTATACAATTTCACTGTAGACCCCCAAGTCCCTCTCAAACTGCCTCAAATAGCTCCTTTGTTCCACCCCCCATACACACGGAGACCGGCTCAATCGGTGCCTCCAGTGATGCTATCTCTTTCATTGTTACCCAACGCTTAGGTTTACCTCCACTGTACTCATATCCTTCCGTATCCTTGTCTGTACATAATGCCCTGAATCTATTCTACAACGCCCGGAAATCTGCCCCTTTTTTCTCTGTACCCAATGCACTAGAAGACCAGTTCTTAAAGCCTTTAGCCGTATCCTTATTCTAGTCCTCCTCCGTTCCTCTGGTGATGTAGAGGGTAACCCAGGCCCTGCAGCCCCCAGTATCACTCCTACTCCCCAGGAGCTATCATTTGTTGACTTCTGTAACCGTAAAGCATTGTTTTTTTGCACGTTAACATCAGAAGCCTCCTCCCTAAGTTTGAGTTATTCACTGTGTTAGCACACTCCGCCAACCCTGATGTTCTAGCAGTGTCTGAATCCTGGCTTAGGAAGGCCACCAAAAATGCAGAAATGTCCATCCCCAACTACAACATTTTCCGTCTAGATTGAACTGCCAAAGGGGGTGGAGTTGCAATCTACTGTAGAGATAGCCTGCAGAGCTCTATCATACTGTACTATCCAGGTCTGTGCCCAAACAGTTTGAGCTCCTACTTCTAATAATCCACCTTTCCAGAAATAAGTCTCTCACTGTTGCCGCTTGCTACAGAACCCCCTCAGCCCCCAGCTGTGCCCTGGACACCATATGTGAATTGATTGCCCCCCATCTATCCTCAGAGTTCGTACTGCTTGTTGACCTAAACTGGGATATGCTTAACATCCTGGCCATCCTACAATCCAAACTAGATGCCCTCAATCTCACACAAATGATCAATGAACCTACCAGGTACAACCCTAAATCCGTAAATATGGGCACCCTTATAGATATCATCCTGACTAACTTACCCTCTAAATACACCTCTGCTGTCTTCAACCAGGATCTCAGCGATCACTGCCTTATCACCTGCGTCCGTAACGAGTCCGCGGTCAAACGACCACCCCTCATCACTGTCAAACGCTCCCTAAAACACTTTAGCGAGTAGGCCTTCCTAATTGACTTGGCCCAGGTATCCTGGATGGATATCGATCTCATTCCATCAGTAGAGGATGCCTGGTTGTTCTTTAAAAGTGCTTTCCTCTCAATCTTAAATAAGCATGCCCCATTAAAAAAATTCAGAACTAAGAACAGATATAGCCCTTGGTTCTCCTCAGACTTGTCTGCCCTTGACCAGCACAAAAACATCCTGTGGCGTACTGCATTACCATCGAATAGCCAGTTTCCGAGCTGGTCATGGGTGCACCTCAGCCACACTCAAGGTCCTAAACAATATCATAACCGCGATCGATATTAGACAGTACTGTGCAGCCGTCTTCATTGACCTGGCCAAGGCTTTTGACTCTGTCAACCACCGCATTCTTATTGGCAGACTAAATAGCCTTGGTTTCTCAAATGACTGCCTCGCCTGGTTCACCAACTACTTCTCAGATAGAGTTCAATGTGTCAAATCGGAGGGCCTGTTGTCTGGACCTATGGCAGTCTCTATGGGGGTGCCACAGGGTTCAATTCTTGGGCCAACTCTTTTCTCTGTGTATATCTATGATGTCGCTCTTACTGCTGGTGATTCTCAGATCCACCTCTACGCAGACGACACCATTTTATATACATCTGGCCCTTCATTGGACACTGTGTTAACAAACCTCCAAACGAGCTTGCATGCCATACAACACTCCTTCCGTAGCCTCCAACTGCTCTTAAACACAAGTAAAACTAAATGCATGCGCTTCAATCGAACGCTGCTGGCACCCGCCCACCTGACTAGAATCACTACTCTCGACGGATCTGACCTAGAGTATGTGGACAACTACAAATACCTAGGTGTCTGGTTAGACTGTAAACTCTCCTTCCAGACTCACATTAAGCATCTCCAATCCAAAGTTAAATCTAGAATCGGCTTCCTATTTCGCAACAAAGCCTCCTTCACTCATGCTACCAAACATGCCCTCGTAAAACTGACTATCCTACCGATCCTTGACTTCGGCGATGTCATTTACAAAATAGCCTCCAACACTCTACTCAGCAAATTGGATGTAGTCCATCACTGTGCCATCCGTTTTGTCACCAAAGCCCCATATGACCTGTACGCTCTTGTTGACTAGTCCTCACTACATATTCATCGCCAAACCCACTGGCACCAGGCCATCTATAAATCACTGCTAGGCAAATCCCCGCCTTATCTTAGCTCATTGGTCACCATAGCAACACCCACCCGTAGTATGCGCTCCAGCAGGTATATCTCACTGGTCATCCCCAAAGCCAACACCTCCTTTGGCCGCCATTCCTTCCAGTTCTCTGCTGCCAATGACTGGAACGAACTGCAAAGATCTCTGAAGCTGGAGACTCCTATCTCCCTCACTAACTTTGAGCATCAGTTGTCAGAGCACCTTACCGATCACTGCACCTGTACACAGCCCATCCGAAATTAGCCCACCCAACTACCTCATCCCCATATTGTTATTTATTTTGCTCATTTGCACCCCAGTATCTCTATTTGCACATCATCTCTTGCACATCCATCATTCCAGTGTTAATACTAATTGTAATTATTTTGCACTATGGCCTGTTTATTGCCTTACCTCCATAACTTGCTACATTTGTATATATATTTTCTGTTGTATTTTTGACTTTATGTTTTGTTTTACCCCATATGTAGCTCTGTGTTGTTGTTTTTATCGCACTGCTTTGCTTTATCTTGGCCAGGTCGCAGTTGTAAATGAGAACTTGTTCTCAACTGGCTTACCTGGTTAAATAAAGGTTAAATAAAATAAATAAATAAAATGTAATGCCCAGAGACCTGGCAGCATAGCACGAAATTCAGGTTGCTGGCAACCAAGAGGTTGCAGTAAAAATACAGTAAATATAATAATTTACAAGACTTCACTGTAATCAGAATACAGCAGCATGCCTTAGTCATTTTACAGCAATTACACCCTACTAAAATATTTTTTACTGCAACACCAGTAGCCAGTAATTTACCGGGAACCTTTAGCAAAGTGCAGAAATGTATCGTCCCAATAAATCTGTGGCCTTCTGGTCGCTGGCAACCAGGAGGTTGTAAGTTCAAATCCCAGGTGATGTTGAATCCCAAGTGTCACTTTACAGCAATAACATATTAATTCAGATGTAAAAATAGTAAGTTATTGTATATTTTCTGTATTTTTACTGCAACCAGCAGCCAATAATTTACGATAAAATTACAGGTAGTTTTTAACAGTGAAGTAACTCATTAGAATTGCCTTTTAAATCAGGTCTCTTGCAGCTTTTATATAATACAAACAAAAAATCTTAGAAACTTTTCTGGTAGTTGTATGGCAGATACATTGTGCTACATAGTATATGTTTGTTTTATTGTTCTTTACAATTAATAGACACAGAAACTAGACACATTCATAAAGCTTGCCAGCTGGAAGATTGGATTCATTCTTTTTTTGGAGGGAATAGTAAAGTATAAAGTATATATATAAAGAATAGTAAAGTATAACCAAGTAGCGCAAGGATAACGGATGAATTTGCAATGAAACGTAATATCTTAGAGTAAATGTCATGAATTAGTTTAGTTTATTGAAACATACCAAACCTGAATATAAATGTAGATATTTCAATAAAATAAACAAACTGCCAACAAAAGCAAAACATCTTTATATTTATGCATTCATGATAAATATTTATTTTCACATTTAGGTTGATTGTTTAAACGTTTTAACAATATACAATTATTATATTTAACAGACAACATTAGTTAAAGAACAGAATATATGGCAACTTATTTTGTTTGTGTACATTACAGCCGTGCAACTGATATGTTAAACATTCATTGGAACTTTACATTAAAGTATACTTTATAAAGGGGTTATAGGTAGTTTATAAATCAGTATTATTTAAACAGTTAATTGCTTGAAAACCATTATATCACATCAAAGTTTCCACAAATTAGTTATAACAATGTTTTACTGATTCATAAAGTGTTATCTTCATTAGTTTCATAGTAAGGTTATTCCTGACATTCACACATTTGTCGAATTAGTACAGTTCCTTTCTTTGGTACCACAAATATAAACATCACATTTCATTACCCTGGTTGTGGTGCAGAAAGTGATATATTTTATAGACACTGCCAACAAGAGAGATTGAGGAACTACCAGCCTGACAGCAAGACCATGGCGAGAATGGGGAGAAAAAAAGAAAATAAGCGCAAAAGAGAGAGGGAGCTGGGGGCTGCATTTCCTGTGTTGTTAGGGGCAGTGGTTGTTTCCAGGGCGGGTAAGTCACAGATCATCTTATTAAAAAAGGACCTGAATCTGGAGGTTTTGGCAAAAATGTGCATCGCGGTCGCTCGCAAATTGGTACCATTTTCATCCTTATTCATTGTTATCACTCCAGCCTGGAACCATGCCGGGCCAGACTTACACACCAGGGGGCCACCTACATCTCCCTGTAGAGAAAACAACACATAAATACATAGAATTGGATATTAATGACAATCACTTAAACAGAGAATGAATATTTCTGACCTACACCCACATTCACAGTCTACTACACCACACAGCAATGCCTAGCACTCTCCGCCGTACATTCTGTTTTGAAGAAACAAATATGAAAACGGATGGGTAACACTTAAAGCATTCAAGTGTAATGCTTTATAATTTGTTATAAGCATTTATGAGCCTTTATACTGTCTTATTACAAGGCCTATACAGTATGTAATGCCTCTCTATGCATTAAATTCACAACTCTCAAACTGACTGTTATTTTGTCCTGATCATTAAGAGATGTTTATAAGACATTATAAAGAGATCATACATGACAAGTCGTATTATAACTGCATCATAATGCATTATACCTGGATGCTTTAAGTAAAGTAGCCCTTGCTGTAGCCTTTGTTACCTGCTCTAGATTCATCGCTGAAGTGCAGATGTTCTCAGTGGAGGAGATGTCGCCACAGCTCATCACATTAGCCTGCTGCTCTCGTATACCTGTCCCAGTGGTGCCATTCACTAGGATAGTGATTCATTTAATTGGGTTAAAAACATCAGTTAATACGCATGGTCAACTGGTATGTATAATTTAACAAAAATTACATGCATAGAAATATTCCACCACATGCCTGTGGTAGAATAAACTAACAAGGAATGTCCTAATAATAATGAAATGTCCTAATAATACGGTGAACAAAAACAATAATTTTCTGAACTGATTTCATCATCTCATTTTCCCTGAAGAAATTATGAATGATTGAATCATGTGCATCCATTACTTGAACATTGAATGACCTTCCAGCATCTTGCCAACAAACACAGTTTCTTACCCCTGCCCTTGTCCTGGTTTCCCCAGCCTGTCACAAAGCACTGAGTCCCAGGTGGGAAGCTTCCATCGTTGCTCCAGTCTACAGATATAGGCTGAATGCAGCTGCTGAAGTTTACGAAGTTCTCCAGCTGCAGCAGCGCAATGTTAGTCCCAGTGTGGTTGGTCAGAGTGATGTTCACAATGCCCAATGAAACCTCGCAGACATCAGATCCTTTCTGCTGTTGCTCTCCCAGAAACACAGTCCAGTCGTCGGGATTTAAATGTGAACTACAGGAACAGAAAAGCAGATATGGTCTTTGAATAAAATAGATTTTACTGGCCAATCTTTCTATTCAATGTTGATTACAATGCATGTACACATATACTGCATTATGACTGGATTATGACTAATTATGTTTGTTTAAAATGCATTACAGATATGGGTTCATAGAAAGTGTTATCCAACTGTTCTCTGTAAAGCTCAGTGCAAGATTAATTTACCCGGGGAAGCATTGTGCAGCACTAAGTACGAATTCCTCTGTGATAAGAGTGCCACCGCAAATATGGATCCCATTTCTGTATAGACTGACCATCCAGGGCCAGGTTCCCCTCACAACGTTATAACTGTTGCCCCCTAGACGGGGACTCTTAGGGGCACGGCCACATACTCGCCCTAAAAGGAAAATAAGAAAACAGTAAGTAATTAATACAAAATAGTGTCGTATTCTTTCACAGGTCAGCAAATAAAAAATAAAAGTTAAGACACTACACACATGGAAGAAAAGGTGCTACGGTGGGGAAAAAAAGTATTTAGTCAGCCACCAATTGTGCAAGTTCTCCGACTTAAAAAGATGAGAGAGGCCTGTTATTTTCATCATAGGTACACGTCAACTATGACAGACAAAATGAGAATTTTTTTTCCAGAAAATCACATTGTAGGATTTTTTATGAATTTATTTGCAAATTATGGTGGAAAATAAGTATTTGGTCAATAACAAAAGTTTCTCAATATTTTGTTATATACCCTTTGTTGGCAATGACACAGGTCAAACGTTTTCTGTAAGTCTTCACAAGGTTTTCACACACTGTTGCTGGTGTTTTGGCCCATTCCTCCATGCAGATCTCCTCTAGAGCAGTGATGTTTTGGGGCTGTCGCTGGGCAACACAGACTTTCAACTCCCTCCAAAGATTTTCTATGGGGTTGAGATCTGGAGACTGGCTAGGCCACTCCAGGACCTTGAAATGCTTCTTACGAAGCCACTCCTTCGTTGCCCGGGCGGTGTGTTTGGGATCATTGTCATGCTGAAAGACCCAGCCACGTTTCATCTTCAATGCCCTTGCTGATGGAAGGAGGTTTTCACTCAAAATCTCACGATACATGACCCCATTCATTCTTTCCTTTACACGGATCAGTCGTCCTGGTCCCTTTGCAGAAAAACTGCCCCAAAGCATGATGTTTCCACCCCCATGCTTCACAGTAGGTATGGTGTTCTGAGTGGAAATGGAAGAAAACTAGACTCCCTGCAGACCTGGCATCTTTTCACTCCCTCCTCTCTACATTTTCTTAATCTGTTTCTGCTGCTAAGGCCACTTTCTACCACTCTAAATTCCAGTGTCAAATGACACTGCTGGTCCTGCTCACACTGCCCTACCCTATGCTTTGACTTCTTTCTCCCCTCTCTCTCCAGATAAAATCTTGCGACTTGTGACGGCAGGCCGCCCAACAACCTGCCCGCTTGACCCTATCCCCTCCTCTCTTCTCCAGACCATCTCCGGTGACCTTCTCCCTTACCTCACCTCGCTGATCAACTCATCCTTGACCGCTGGCTATGTCCCTTCCGTCTTCAAGAGAGCGAGAGTTGCACCCCTTCTCAAAAAACCAACACTCGATCCCTCTGATGTCAACAACTAGAGACCAGTATCCCTTCTTTCTTTTCTCTCCAAAACTATTGAGCGTGCCGTCTTTAGCTAACTCTCTTGCTATCTCTCTCAGAATGACCTTCTTGATCCAAACCAGTCAGGTTTCAAGATTGGTCATTCAACTGAGACTGCTCTTCTCTGTGTCACAGAGGCTCTCCGCACTGCTAAAGCTAACTCTCTCTCCTCTGCTCTTGTCCTTCTAGACCTGTCTGCTGCCTTTGATACTGTGAACCATCAGATCCTCCTCTCCACCCTCTCCGAGCTGGGCATCTCCGGCGCGGCTCACTCTCGGATTGCGTCCTACCTGACCGGTCGCTCCTACCAAGTGGCGTGGCAAGAAGCTGTCTCCGCACCACGTGCTCTCACCACTGGTGTCCCCCAGGGCTCAGTTCTAGGCCCTCTCCTATTCTCGCTATACACCAAGTCATTTGGCTCTGTCATATCCTCACATGGCCTCTCCTATCATTGCTACGCTGACGACACACAACTAATCTTCTCCTTTCCCCCTTCTGATAACCAGGTGGCGAATCGCATCTCTGCATGTCTGGCAGACATATCAGTATGGATGACGGATCACCACCTCAAGCTGAACCTCGGCAAGACGGAGCTGCTCTTCCTCCCGGGGAAGGACTGCCCGTTCCATGATCTCGCCATCACGGTTGACAACTCCGTTGTGTCCTCCTCCCAGAGTGAGAAGAGCCTTGGCGTGACCCTGGACAACACCCTGTCGTTCTCCGCTAACATCAAGGCGGTGACCCGATCCTGTAGGTTCATGCTCTACAACATTCGGAGAGTACGACCCTGCCTTACACAGGAAGCGGCACAGGTCCTAATCCAGGCACTTGTCATCTCCCGTCTGGATTACTGCAACTCGCTGTTGGCTGGGCTCCCTGCCTGTGCCATTAAACCCCTACAACTCATCCAGAATGCCGCAGCCTGTCTGGTGCTCAACCTTCCCAAGTTCTCTCACGTCACCCCGCTCCTCCGCACACTCCACTGGCTTCCAGTTGAAGCTCGCATCTGCTACAAGTCCATGGTGCTTGCCTACGGAGCTGTGAGGGGAACGGCACCTCCGTACCTTCAGGCTCTGATCAGTCCCTACACCCAATCGAGGGCACTGCGTTCATCCACCTCTGGCCTGCTGGCTCCCCTACCTCTGCGGAAGCATAGTTCCCGCTCAGCCCAGTCAAAACTGTTCGCTGCTCTGGCACCCCAATGGTGGAACAAGCTCCCTCACGACGCCAGGACAGCGGAGTCACTCACCACCTTCCGGAGACATTTGAAACCCCACCTCTTTAAGGAATACCTGGGATAGGATAAAGTAATCCTTCTACCCCCCCCCCCCCCCCCCCCCCCCTTTACTCCAACCCACCCTCCCCCCCAAAAATATAATAATAATAATAATAATAATAATAAAAAAATAAAATAAAAAAATACATTTGTAATGTGGTTATCCCACTGGCTATAAGGTGAATGCACCTATTTGTAAGTCGCTCTGGATAAGAGCGTCTGCTAAATGACGTAAATGTAAATGTAAATGTGTTCTTTGGATGCAACTCAGCATTCTTTGTCTTCCAAACACGACGAGTTTAGTTTTTACCAAAAAGTTCTATTTTGGTTTCATCTGACCATATGACATTCTCCCAATCCTCTTCTGGATCATCCAAATGCACTCTAGCAAACTTCAGATGGGCCTGGACATGTACAGGCTTAAGCAGGGAGACACGTCTGGCACTGCAGGATTTGAGTCCCTGGCGGCGTAGTGTGTTACTGATGGTAGGCTTTGTTACTTTGGTCCCAGCTCTCTGCAGGTCATTCACTAGGTCCCCCCGTGTGGTTCTGGGATTTTTGCTCACCGTTCTTGTGATCACCACGGGGTGAGATCTTGCGTGGAGCCCCAGATCGAGGGAGATTATCAGTGGTCTTGTATGTCTTCCATTTCATAATAATTGCTCCCACAGTTGATTTCTTCAAACCAAGCTGCTTACCTATTGCAGATTCAGTCTTCCCAGCCTGGTGCAGGTCTACAATTTTGTTTCTGGTGTCCTTTGACAGCTCTTTGGTCTTGGCCATAGTGGAGTTTGGAGGCCATAGTGGAGTTTGGAGTGTGACTGTTTGAGGTTGTGGACAGGTGTCTTTTATACTGATAACAAGTTCAAACAGGTGCCATTAATACAGGTAACGAGTGGAGGACAGAGGAGCCTCTTAAAGAAGAAGTTACAGGTCTGTGAGAGCCAGAAATCTTGCTTGTTTGTAGGTGACCAAATACTTATTTTCCACCATAATTTGCAAATAAAATCATTTAAAATCCTACAATGTGATTTTCTGGATTTTTTTCTCTCTCAATTTGTCTATCATAGTTGACGTGTACCTATGATGAAAATTACAGGCCTCTCTCATCTTTTTTAAGTGGGAGAACTTGCACAATTGGTGGCTGACTAAATACTTTTTTCCCCCACTCTATCTAGAACCTAAAAGGGTTTATCGGCTGTCCCCATAGGAGAACCCTTTGATGGAACTATTTTGGGTTCCATGTAGAACCCTTTCCACAGAGGGTTCTACATGGAACATAAAAGGGTTCTACCTGGAACCCAAAAGGGTTCTCCTATGGGGACAGCCGAAGAACCCTTTTGGAACCTTTTTCTAAGAGTGTAGCAACATAGGTAGGAAACTCATGTGCAGCAGTGGTGAATGTACTTCCGGTTGTGATCATGGTTGGTGGCAAGCCAGGACAGGTATATCTGCTGTCCACATCTAACCCACTGGAGGTAAACTGGACAAAGCCTGGCTTGTCGATGATGAACTTAAAATGTAATAAAAAACTCACCTTCTGCACTTGAAATGACAGTGATATCTGGTGCTTTAGTTGTTTTGACTGGTACATTTGTAGCAGGACCAGTAGATGGTGGGACAGTTGTAGCAGGAGGGGGTAGGCCAGGACAGGTATAACTGCTGTCAGTATCTACCCCACTGGAGGTAAATTGGACAAAGCCTGGCTTGTCAGTAGTGATCTCGGAGTTGATCCAGGGCTGGTAGCGAGACACTCTGGTGTATACCCCAGGGAGATTGGGCCGAGCGCAGCCAAAACCCCAACTAACAACCCCAGCCTGGATCCAGACAGAGTTCTGTTTAGTCACCATTGGACCTCCAGAGTCACCCTGAAATGATGGAGCAAGGTAAGTCTTCCAATCCATTAAAAAACAAAGAATAGTTTAGGAACAGGGCAATAATGAAATGGGTTATCATGGACTCTACCTGACATGAGTCCTTGCCCCCTGTCAGCACACCAGCACAGAGCATGTTGTCTGTGACTGAGCCGACCCCATTGAGGCAGTTACACTGTCTATTACCCAGAACTGGAACCTCCACTTCCTGCAGAGCCTGAGGGGAGGGGAGGAATTCTGAGGGAGAGGATGAGAGACAGACTCATGATGAACATTCCATTTTCAGTGGAAAAATTATGTTTTTTAGTCTGCAATGTACTGCTATTTCTCACAACACAATATGTCATTGACATCTCCATGAAGGTCTCCTCACTTCCTTCGTTGATGTTGCCCCAGCCAGTGACCCAGCTATCAGTGCCATTGTGGTAAAAACTGTCACTTGCTGCCAGACAGACGGGTCTGATATAGTTTGTGAAGCTGACTGGTGAGGTGAGTCTGAGCAGAGCGATGTCGTTGTCATTGTTGTCATTGTTGTAAACTGGATGTAACACGATCTGAGCCACAGTTCTGGACACTTCGTTGGGGTTACTGCCCTCCTGGTTCTGTCGACCCAAGATGATGTTCCAACCATTTGGGCTTGAGCTTTGTTGGAATGGGAAGATAATATATTTTTTGCATCATATGAGAATTGGACAAAATATAAGATTCCCATGAAACGAAAGTACATTTTGGAGAAACTTCTTTCAAGTAAGAGGTGCACTCAGCTGCATTACAGAGAGTTTGACATATTCCTTGAGCTACAACCTTTACGTCCCCTGTATCTCACGCTAACTCACCTAGAGAAGCAGTGGGCTGCAGACATCACCCACTCCTTGTTGATGAGGGACCCGCCACAAACATGGTCGCCAAATAGGTGTAGGCTAGCTTGCCAGGGCCAACTTCCTGCAGGGGCATCCTCACCCCCCACTATTTTGTTGTTGAATGAAGTGGTCCCACACACTGAAACAGAGATAAACAATGATGAGTGGAGTGGTGCCACATACTGGAACATAAGAGTCTGAATTGAGTCACTAAGCCATAGAATACAATATGAAACGACTTTACTTGACACCCAGCATCATAACACGTTATGACACAGTCATAACCATGTCATAACCTGTTATAATATGGTCATAACACTGTCATGACACATATATTTAGACCTGTTGTGACATATATTGCTGTCACGGATTCAGCCGAGGCTGCTCCTCCTCCTTGCTCGGGCAGACTTTGGCGTTCGTCGTCCCCGGAGTACTAGCTGCTGCCGATCGATGTTTCGGTGTTTGTCTAGTTTAGTCTTTATTGTTTACACCTGTTCCCCATTATTTTTGATTGTATTCCCTATATTTACCCCTGTCTCTCATTTGGTATTTTGTGTGTTATTGTTTGTGGTTACGTGTGTCGTTGGTGAGCGGGTTAGTTCCTCCCTGTGTGGAGGTATTCTGTGTTGTGTTCTTTACTTATTTCAGTAAAGTACGTTTCTTGGAGTTCTGTGTCCTGCGCCTGACTTCTATCCACCACATTACACTGACACTCGTGACAGAATAACACACCACGACATGGAGTCAGCAGGAGCGGCGGTGCCAACGGGATCACTGGAGGAGCGCGTTATACAACAGGCGGCTATGATCCAGGATCTTGGCACCGCCATGGAAGGGGTGATGAACACCTTGAGGCGATGGGAAAGAGGAGGTTTGCCCACACCTCCTCCAACGATACCACCACCATCAGCCATACCCATCGTTTCACCTCTGGAGTCCAGTGGGATTCGGCTCTCGCTCCCGAGGGCTTATGATGGTACCGCGGCCGGGTGTCAGGGTTTCCTGCTCCAAGTGGAACTCTACCTGGCAACCATCCACCCGGCGCCCTCGGGATACGAGAGCGTGTCCGCTCTCATCTCCTGTCTGTCCGGCAAGGCACTGGAGTGGGCCAACGCCGAGTGGGGGGGAATAGACGCCGCTACAGTCAACTATGCGGAGTTCACCCACCGCTTCAGGGCGGTGTTCGATCATCCCCCAGAGGGGAAGGCGGCGGGTGAGCGTCTGTTCCACCTCAGACAGGGGAAGAGGAGCGCGCAGGAGTTCGCACTGGACTTCCGGACTCTGGCTGCCAATGCGGGATGGAATGAGAGGGCCCTCATCGACCACTACAGGTGCAGCCTAAGGGAGGACGTTCGTCGAGAGTTGGCCTGCAGGGACACCAAACTAAGTTTCGATCAGCTGGTGGACATGTCGATTCGCCTAGATACTCTGTTGGCTACCCGCGGGCGTCCGGAGTTGGGGCCGTCCATTCTGTCCCCCAGCACTTCCGAGCCGAGCCCTATGGAGCTCGGGGGTGCTGGTGCTAGGGAGACTAGGAGAGAGACCAGGAGAGAGGCCGTCCCCTGCACCAACTGTGGCCGCAGAGGACACACTGCGGTTCGGTGCTGGGGAGGGTCTCCTAGGAATCGAGGCAGTAAGCAACGCACTGATGAGTCATTCCAGGTGAGTAAGCACCCAACTCACCCAGAGCTCCCTGTTGTACATATGTGTATTGAAGTTGTGTTTCCCGAGGTTTCTTCTCACTCCCAGCATAAGGCGCTAGTAGATTCCGTAGGGGCAACGACGGTGGAAAGTCCGAACCAAATTCCCACAATGCACATTCCTCCTGAGTATGCCGATTTGGCACTCGCCTTCTGTAAAAAGAAGGCGACTCAATTACCACCTCATCGACAGGGGGATTGTGCGATAGACCTCCAGGTAGGCGCTGCGCTTCCTCGTAGTCATGTGTATCCTCTGTCTCAGGAGGAGACGGCAGCTATGGAGACATACATCACCGAATCTCTGAGACAGGGATACATACGGCCGTCCACTTCCCCTGCGTCCTCAAGTTTCTTTTTTGTGAAGAAGAAGGATGGGGGTTTACGCCCGTGTATTGATTACCATGGTCTCAATCAGATTACAATTAAATACAGCTATCCTCTCCCTCTGATTGCTAGTATGACGGCGTCATAACACGGGGCGCGATTCTTCACAAAATTGGATCTCAGGAGCGCTTACAACCTGGTGCGCATTAGGGAAGGAGATGAGTGGAAGACAGCATTCAGTACCACCTCGGGTCACTATAAGTACCTCGTCATGCCATACGGTTTAATGAATGCTCCTTCAGTCTTCCAATCATTTGTGGACGAGATTTTCCGGGATTTGCATGGACAGGGTGTAGTGGTGTATATTGATGACATTCTAATATACTCCGCTACACGAACCGAGCATGTGTCCCTGGTACATCGGGTGCTGGGTAGACTGTTGGAGCATGACTGTCACGCCCTGGCTCTGGGGACACTGTTATGTTGAGCCAGGGTGTGTAGATCTATGTTCTCTATTTCTATGTTGGCCTGAGTGACTCCCAATCAGAGGCAACGAGTGTCAGCTGTTTGCTGGTTGTCTCTGATTGGGAGCCATATTTAAACTGTCGGTTTTTCCTTTGTTTTTTGTGGGTTCTTGTTTCAAGTTGGTTGTGTTTGACCGTGTACTGTCACGTTACCGTCTTTGTTGTTTTGATCGCGTTTCGCTCAATAAAGAGTATGTTTGCCTGCAACGCTGCGCCTTGGTCCTCATCTGTTCCCGACGATCGTGACAGAAGAACCCACCAAGACAGGACCAAGCAGCGTGAAGAGGAGAGAGGAAGGACTTGGGATCAGTGGAGTAGGAGTCTCGACTGGGCCAAGCCAAGTGAAGAGCAGAGAGGTTGGACTATGGAGCAGTGGATTAAGAGTCTCGACTGGCAAGCCAAGTGAAGAGCAGAGAGGTTGGACTTTGGAGCAGTGGGGTGAGAGTCTGGCAAGAACTAGGGAGGCCTGGTCCACGGGGAGGAGAGACCCCCAGAAATTTTTTAGGTGGGGGCTCACGTCGTGGACGACGGGGCAGCAGGAGGCCGCGATGGAGCGGTCCAGCGGGTGCGCAGAGGAGGCCGCCAGGTTAAGGGGGCCACTGGTCACAGAGGAGAGGGAAAGTGTGGAGGCACGGCGAGAGGTACTGGGGTGTGTTACCAGTCCGGTCGGGCCCGTTCCTGATCTCTGCGTAGGGCCAGTGGTGTGTGTCCCCAGTGCGGTCCGGTCTGTTCCTGTTCCTCGCATCGTGCCTGTGGTGCGCGTCGCCAGCCCGGTCCGGCCTGTTCCTGCTCTCCGCATCGAGCCTGTGGTACGCTTCGTCAGCCCAGTCCGGCCCATTCCTGCTCCCCGCACCAAGTCTGTGGTGCGTCTCGTCAGCCCGGCTCGGCCCGTTCCTGCTCCCCGCACCAAGTCAGTGGTGCGCTTCGTCAGCCCGGCTCGGCCCATTCCTGCTCCCCGCACCAAGTCTGTGGTGCGCTTCGTCAGCCCGGCTCGGCCCATTCCTGCTCCCCGCACCAAGTCTGTGGTGCGTTTCGTCAGCCCTGTCCGGCCCGTTCCTGCTCTCCGCACCAAGTCTGTGGTGCGCGTCGCCAGCCCAGTCCGGCCCATTCCTGCTCCCCGCACCAAGTCTGTGGTGCGTTTCGTCAGCCCTGTCCGGCCCGCTCCTGCTCTCCACACCAAGCCAGTGGTGTGCGTCGTCAGTCCAGCACGGCCCGTGCCTGTTCCCCGCACCAAGCCAGGGGTGCGTATCGTCAGCCCGGCTCGGCCCGTTCCTCCTCCACGCACTAAGCCAGGGGTGCGCATCGTCAGCCCGGTCCGGTCCATTCCTGCTCCACGCACCAAGCCAGGGGTGCGTATCGTCAGCCCAGTCCGGCTAGTTGCTACTCCACGCACCAAGCCAGGGGTGCGCATCGTCAGCCCGGTCCGGTCCATTCCTGCTCCACGCACCAAGCCAGGGGTGTGTATCGTCAGCCCGGTCCGGCCAGTTGCTACTCCACCCACCAAGCCAGGGGTGCGTGTCGTCAGTCCGGCTCCGGCCAGCGGGGCCAGACCGGACCAGGGGTACTTTGGGGGGTTGGAGAAGGAGTGGGGATCGGGCCCAGAGCCGGATCCGCCGCCAAGGCGGAGTGCCCACCCGGTCCCTCCCCTGTGGTATTTAGTTGGCGCGGTCGGAGTCCGCGCCTTTAGGGGGGGGTACTGTCACGCCCTGGCTCTGGGGACACTGTTATGTTGAGCCAGGGTGTGTAGATCTATGTTCTCTATTTCTATGTTGGCCTGAGTGACTCCCAATCAGAGGCAACGAGTGTCAGCTGTTTGCTGGTTGTCTCTGATTGGGAGCCATATTTAAACTGTCGGTTTTTCCTTTGTTTTTTGTGGGTTCTTGTTTCAAGTTGGTTGTGTTTGACCGTGTACTGTCACGTTACCGTCTTTGTTGTTTTGATCGCGTTTCGCTCAATAAAGAGTATGTTTGCCTGCAACGCTGCGCCTTGGTCCTCATCTGTTCCCGACGATCGTGGGACATTGGTTGTCTCCTTCCTGGGACATTGGTTGTCCGCATCAGGGGTGGAAATGGAGATTGACCGCGTTTCAGCCGTGCGTAATTGGCAGACTCCCACTACGGTGAAGGAGGTGCAGCGGTTTTTGGGTTTTGACAATTACTACCGGAGGTTTATCCTGGGCTTTGGACAGTTAGCAGCTCCCATCACCTCCCTGCTAAAGGGGGGCCCGGTGCGTTTGCAGTGGTCGGCTGAGGCATACAGGGCGTTTAGACATCTGAAGGACCTGTTCACCTCGGTTCCGGTGCTGGCACATCTGGATCCCTCTTTGGCGTTCCAAGTTGAGGTGGATGCGTCCGAGGCGGAGTACATCCGGGCGGAGTACAACCTGGAGTACATCCGGGCAGCGAGGAGACTGAACCCTCGTCAGGCTAGGTGGGCCATGTTTCTTGCCCGGTTTGTATTTAAGCTCACTTATCTACCAGGGTCACAGAACGCTAAGGCAGACGCCCTGTCCCGACAATATGACACAGAGGAGAGGTCCATTGAGCCCACTCCCATACTTCCGGAGTCTTGTCTAGTGGCACCGGTGGTGTGGGAGGTCGATGCGGAAATCGAGCGGGCATTACGTGCCGACCCTACTCCCCC